GTATTGCAACCATGGACAGAGGCTAGTTGGAAAGTAGAAATGGGTTAGTAGATGTTGAGGGGATAAGAGAAACAAATGAGGGTAGGAATGATCATAATACATGATACAAACAAGAAATTGTCAAAAATAAGAAAATTCAAAAAGTTCAACCATCCTTAGCTAGTAGGAAAGTGCAAATTAAAACTACACTAAGATTCTACCCTACTCAACTCAAAATGCCTACCATAAAAAAAATGTTCTGGTGAGAATATGGATAAAAGGAAACACAGATTGTTGGCAGGAATGTAAATTGGTCCAGCCCCTATGGAAGTCTATATTGATATCCCTCAACAACTGAAAATAGAATTCTCTCCCATATGAGCCAGCTATACCCGTCCTGGGTAGACAACCAAAGGACTCTAAGGAAACACTTGACCATCCTTGTGTATTACAATACTGTTCACTACGGTTACGTTATGGAATCAAGGTTGGGAAGATGGCTTATCCAGGGAAGCATTTGACTCACAACTCTGTGAGTTCAGATTGTTGTACCCGTTTCGCAAAACCCCCAGAGACCAACCCCCAGAGACCACCAAGGAGCCGGTTTCCGATGCAAGCACATAAGGGTCCTTTTATTCAGGTTCAACATGGGCTGCCGCACGGCAGATGGAAGGAAATGTGTAGAGGATTTTTATAGGGAAAAACCACAAGCTGGGAACTGGCAACTTGGGATTGGTAGAAGGGGAAAGGTGATTTTTTGAAACCACTGGGTTAGACTTTTGGTGGGGAACCACAACCCGCTGAACAGGATTATCTGGACTGCTCAGCAGGATTATCTAGATATCTCCAAGGGCCATAAACCAGACAGGATGTCTGCAGGAGAATACTGCTCTGTATCCATTCGAGTTGTCATGGCACATTCCTGAGCCTGTAAAATTAAGTCTAGGCTTTCACAAGATCCTCAGAGCACAGAAAACCCAGGTATGGAGATAACCCAGAAGATGGCAAGATGGGAGGTGAAGACAGCCTTGTAGCTCACTTTCCAGCTAGCCTAGCCTACTTGATGAAGTTCCAGGCCAACAGGAGATCCAGTCTTAAATAGAAAATGGAAGCTGCCTGAGGAAGGACACCTGAGCTTGTCCTTCAAAGTCCACCCACATGCATGTGTGCGGCCACATACAGATATGAACACATATGGAATCTATGTCGGTATCAACCCACAGATTAATGAACAAAGAAAATGTGGTCTATATATACAAATGGAATTTTATTCGGTCATGAAGAGTGAAATAATTCCGTTTGCTAAAAAAACTGACGAAACTGGAGATAAGAGAAACTAAACCACATGTATAAAGATAACGCCACATGCTTTTCCTCATTAGTAGATCCTAGAATTCTTCGTTGCTGTATAAATTAAAGTGAGGAAATCAGGAGAAGTTAATATAGTCAAAGTACATTATGTACTTGGAAGAAACTGTCTCTATGAAATATAACAGTATGTCCAATTAGTATACATGAATAAATAGAGTAGGACCTGGGAGATGGCCCAGCAGGTAAAAACACATGCAGCCAAACCTGCCAACCTGAGTTTGATTTCCAGGATACCCATATGATGACCTGATGGAAAAAGAGAATGACTTCTGTATATTGCTCTCTGACCTCCACACACAGCTGTATGGCATGTACACATGCACACATACTAAATAAATGCAACTTTTAAAAAAAAGTTTGAGGAAGGGTCTCCAGTAACCCAGCCTGAGCCTGATCTAGATCAGCTATACAGCTGAGAATGGCCTTGAATTCCCATGTCTCCTGTCTTCACCTGCTAAGTGTTAGGATTACAGCCACGTACCACCATGCTCATCAATAAATTAAAAATAAAACAGGAGGAAGCCACTGGAAAATGATTATGTCCTTGTGAGTGAGATTAGTGTTAAAGTAAGAGACACTCCCACCCCAGGAACTTCCCAGATACTTCATGTGAGGACAGTGAAGAGTTCTCTATGAACTAGAAACGGGTCTTCATGTGACACTAAACTGGCTGGCACCTTGATCTCCAGGCCTTCTCAGGCACCACTATGCTTTACAGCTCAGTCTGAAAAGGAAGGAAAGCAAACAGCAGAACCAGTTAGTGGTCTATATGTGGTCCATGAACATACTTTGCTAAACCTTGCAATATATTCTGGAACTTGGTCTGTCTCTCTGGCTCTTAGTCATACATGCTAATCTGCATGTGAACTCTATCATAGGTCCTCACCCCCAAGCTATTTGATTATAGTGCCCAGGCTACCCCAGAAAATGAGAATCTAGATAAAGCTCACCGTGACCAAAAAGGAAAGTTTTCAATTTCTCTACTCAACCTCCTCCTCTCATCATGGCCTCTGTGGTGACGCCAGGCAACATTGTTCTAGTCAAGGAAGTAATAAATCTGGTAGTTTAGCATTGACTCACCTCACTCCTCACTTGTTACAAGGGATTAACAAATTCTATTGCTTATTCCCCCCTAACAGTTCCATGTACCTCTTCTTCCTCTCCTCATTCCCTGCTTTGGACCCAAAGTTTTTTTTTAAAGTGTGTGTGTGCGTGTGTGCATGTGTGTGTGTGTGTGTGTGTGTGTGTGTGTGTGTGTGTGTACGCATGCACACACGCTACAGGTGTGCAGGTGCTCACAGAGATCAGAAGAGAACATCAAAGTTCCAGGAGATACAGTTACAGGGAGGTAGGAGGCACCTGATGTGGGTACCAGGAACCAAATTCTGGAAGAGCTACAAGCACTCATAACCATGTAAGCACAGAGCCTGCTCTCCAATCCCTAATGCCCAAACTTCTTGTAGAACATTAGTTTAAGATGTGTTACATTTGTTTATGCTGTGGAACATTTGTAATGATGTGAAGATGTGTTGCATTATTTTATGTTGCATTTGTTTAACTCTGTGAAGTTGTGTTACTTGCCTGTCTAAAATACTTGATGGTCTAATAAAGAGCTGAACAGCCAATAGCGAGGCAGGAGAAAAGATAGGTGGGGCTGACAGGCAGAGAGAATATATAAGGAGAAATCTAGGAGAAAAAGAAGAAAGAGCAAGAGAACAAGGAAAGAAGGATGCAGGGGCCAGCCACCCAGCTACACAGCCAGCCACAGAGTAAGAATGAAAGTATGATATATAGAAGAAAAGGAAAATGCCCAGAGGCAAAAGGTAGATGGGATAATTGAAGTTAAGGAAAGCTGGCTAGAAATAAGCCAAGCTAAGGCAGGGCATTTACAATTAAGAATAAGCCTCAGTATGTGACTTATTTGGGAGCTGGATGGTGGGTCCCCCAAAGAGTAAAAAATAAAAAAAAACCCAAAAAACAAACTCTTGCTGTCAAAATATTAATCAAGATGTTAGCCTACTGAGATACCTTCCAACAAGACTTGCAGTCTCCTCAAATATGCCATAAAGTTTTACACATCTTCACCATTACATAGTTCCCTTTACCTAGAATTCCTTCCCCCCAAAATTCCCACTTTAAAACTGTTACCTTCATAGTAAGTCAGTATTCAGCCCAGCTCAGAATTTCTTCCACATTTAATCATTTCCTCCACAAAGATACTTGATTTAAACAAAATAGATGCAATGATCTCAAAATATATGTTCTAAGATCCTCAAATCAATGATTAATGGAAATCTTAGGTATTCATGTCAGAACTTCAGGACTATAGAACTTACTGGGCTATTAAACATTGTAACTAAAATATACTCTGCATTTCATTACATTATTACTTTGGTAACATCAACCTTTATCTTAATCTGAAAAGAAACAATAAAGCTGTTGTCACTTTAGGAACATTATTGCATGTATAACCATACATTTAAAGCACAAAACAATCTTATAAAACCTCTTGCTCCCACACAGCAGTCACACAGAATGTAAGTCAAACTGGGTCTCAGCAAAACTATCTCTTCATGTACTAGACCTTTGGAAATCATTTAAACAACGAGTGTGAAATACATAAATGCCTACCTACTATACTTCCTTTATTGTACTTGTATCAAAACCAACAACCTGTTGCCTTGGTGAGCTTGGTGGCAGTCTCATTTTGCCATTTTTTTTATTTATACTAAAGTTGACCTAAGAGAAAGCAGCTACTCCAAAAATATTTGTTGAATGAAATTGCCTCCTTGTTGGTCTGCCTGCCCCAGGCCATCTTCCTTTCAGAAATCCCGCCTTGCTTTACAAAAATACCACTGTGACATCACTCTGTTGCCCCTAAACCTTTGCTGACTGTTCACCCTCTCCTTTACATAATGGTGTTTCCAGTTTCTGACAGGGCACAGAGGAGCCTTTTCATATCCTGGCTTCAGCCTGTATTTTCAGTCTCATTCCCACTCTATCCTTTTCACATAAACTCTCTTCAAGGTACACCAGATGTTCTTGGAACACGTTGGAATTGTCATTACGCCATGCCTTTTCAAACACGTTTCTGGTTTGAAAGGTCGTCTATCCTCTTCTGCCTGAAAAATGCCTTTATTAATAAAGCTTAAACAGCACTACCTTTATAGCTTTCTCTGAGCACAGAATCATTGTGGCCCTCGCTTGATTTCTGCACCATTGTGTTTATTGTGAAAATATACTAAGCTAATTCTGCAGGGAGGAAGGGGTGCCCTGTCAAGGGACTTACCCCAGCAGCGACTGCGGCACTACGTGTTAAGCATACTGTTTAGGCAGCAGTGGGAGGATGGGGATGGATGACCTTTAATTCATGAGATGCTACTGTGCTGTGCGCATCTTTCACACCGTTCTGTGTACTTGTGTGTCTGGGGGTTGAGACGGCAGAGAAAAGGAGAGCTAGGGGAAGGAAGAGAGGGGAAAACGGAATTGAGAAGGTGGACGCAGTGCAGTCAGGGCAGATGGGCGGATCCACATTTCTTAGGCTTTACAGTTTTGCAGAGGTCCAGCCCTGCAAGCTGAGAAGAGCAAGGGGTTGGGGGTGGGGTGAAAAGGTGGAAAGGGGAGGGACTGTAGTCCCTCCGAGTCCGCCGGCCTGGACTGCCTGGCGACCACCTTGTGCCCCACCACGGCCGGTTCCTCCAGCCGTGACTCACGCCTACAGTGCCAGGCGGGGCGCGCTGGGCAGCGCAGCCCCACAGGTGGCAGCGGCTCGGGGACGGTTCCCGCCAGGCTAGGCAGTGGAGCGCCGCACAGCGCGCCTTCCCGCCTCCCAGCCGCCGCCCAAGCAGTTCCCGGCGGGCACCAGCAGGCCTGCTCGGTCGATCTTCGAGCCGAAGATGCGGCGGGGCTGGAAGATGGCTCTGTCTGGGGGGCTGCGGTGCTGCCGCCGGGTACTGTCCTGGGTGCCAGTGCTCGTTATTGTCCTCGTCGTTCTCTGGTCCTACTATGCCTACGTCTTTGAACTCTGCCTGGGTAAGTGGGTCTGGGCACATAAAGTGGGGAAATTATGCTCCAGCATAAATCATCTGCCCTATCCTTCTCACTGATGTCCCCAGTGCGCTCAGCCCTCACTCTGCGGTTTTCCTTTCGCTCCCGGAAAAACTCCCAGTCTCCAACCTTGGGCTGCTCACAGTCTCTCCCACGCGCCTTCCCACGAGGGTCCCACCACGTCGCCCTTGCCCCTCCTCTGGGTTTTCTTATTTCTTTGCCCTACCCACGATAATTTCCTGGCTCTGCCCACTAAGACACCCCCCTCCCCCCGCTTTCCCATACAGGGTAGCCACTTAGGCTGCACTTTCTCCTTCTGAGCCCACCCAACCAGTTGAGGAAGCACCATACCCTGTGTCCTTAAAGTGCCCGCTCCACCAATGCATCCAACTAAGAGTCCCACCATTTTCCCCTTCTACTAGGATTCCTTCCTTACTGGGGATTCCCTACTAGGAATCCAAAAATATTTCCTGTACTCTCATATTAGCTCACCTTTTCTCCACACTGGGGTCCATACTTTCTCTCTGCAATCCTCACACACAGGCTGACATGTTTCACATCTCCACCCACTTATGATCCTCTCACATCAGGACATTCGGTTTTATTTCACTTTTCACATAGTGAAATCCCTCCATCCTTTCCCTGAGATCCCAGAGTGCGCACACACACACACACACACACACACACACACACACACACACACACACACACACACACACACAGAGACAGAAAGAGGAGAGAAAGAGAGAGATGCTTCCGATGTTCACCTTATGACTCTGCAGGATGCTCTGTTCTATCTCACATTTAACACCGTGATAATAAACTTTCCTCTTTCTTTCCCTGTGGGCTTTCCTCGTTTTCAGAGTTCTAGTGGTGTGGGGGTTCCACAAAACACTCTCTTCTCATATTAGAGCTCCTAATTGTACCACATTGGGGTGCCCTCCAGCCTCTTCCCTTTCCACTTTGGGAAGCATTCAACTCCTTCCCATTAAAGGGCCCACATTATTTTCTGACACGTCGCACTAGTGACCTGCTTTGTCATATTATGATCATGTCTCATCCACTATAATCTCATACTAGAATGTTCTCTTTACACTTCAAAGAGTTCCTACACTCGCTCCCACATCCCACTGAAGAGCCGCTCCTTTTCTTTTTCTTTCTCTCTCTCTCTTTTTTTTTTTTTTGGTTGTTCGAGACAGGGTTTCTCTGTGCAACAGTCCTGGCTGTCCTGGATCTCGCTCTGTAGACAAGGCTGGCCTTGAACTCACAGAGATCTGCCTGCTCTGCCTCTCCAGTGCTGGGATAAAGGTGTCCGCCACCACCACCACCACCGGCTGCCACTCCTTTTCTAACCCCGATTTTCCCCTGTTATCTTTTCTGAGAAACGCTCCCCCGCCCAGTGTTTTTCCACTCCCACCACATTCTGTCTCTGGTGTTTGTCATTGTTTCCTCTAGGAGTGCACCTGCCCCCCTGCCTTCTCAGGCCTGGGAAATTCAGCTCTTTCTTGCTGATGTTTGTAACACTTTCTGCCCTTTCCAATGGGAATATCATTTCCTGTTTCATCTTCTTAGACCACTTCTTTAGACGATGCTAGTTTTTTCTTCTATCCTGGCCTGCCACACCAAGAATCACTGTAGTCCCTTATTTAGAATATGGTTCCCACCATATGTCTTGTGCTTTCAATCTCAGAATTCTACATTATTTCACAACACAAAATCCAAGACCCTTCCTTGTATTTACCTGGCCCCTGCACTTAGATTCTCATGGTCCCCAGTCCTCTATCTATTAAATATGGCCTTCTAACATTCTCATAAACTCTAATTAGTTTTCACAATATATCCTGTCTCCTCTCAACAGAAATTTCTCACAAGCCATTGAAAAGTCCCCATATCTTTTCAAATGAGATCTCATTAATACCTATTATCTTTTCAGTACCAGAATCCCATCGCCAGCACACCCGTACACTTGTGACCTGCAGTCCCCCTATTCATTCAATGTGGGGTTCTCATTGCCCCCCAGTAGTAGTCCTACTTGTTCCACCAGACATCTCCTCAAATTTGCCTTCCCATGACTCATCTCTTTCCTCATATCTTAACTTCTCACCTTGAATATTACAGTTATTGTGCTGCTTTTTAGCCCCAGGACCCAACTACACTTACAACCTCCTTCTCCTACATATTTGGTAAAACTACACTCTACCCCATACACAGATTTGGGTGAAGTAGGGAGGCAAGAAGTGACCCTGTTTTTCTGATATAAAACTTCCTTCTAATCAACTCTATACATCAAGGTTTGGCCTTTTTCTGGCCTTCTTAACAATGTTATGGAAATACAGAAAAGACTTTTAAAAATAAGTTTCGTGTGTTGCTTTCATGGATAGATAGTTAGGCTGTTTTCCATTTCTTCATCTCAACCTGATATTAAGGTGTACTAAGTAGACTCTACAGTGACTGGGAAGTTGTCCTGTTCTCAGACTGTGTTCGCTTTTTTGAATGATTAACTAAGGGATCAAAAGTTCAGCTCCATTGTTATTGTATGTACACTGTTCCTAGGAACAAAGCCACACTGTAAACACTATTAAACCTACTTTAAAATCCTTTAGTACTGACTTACGTGAGTTCACCAAGAAATCATGTTAAAAATCAGAATGATGAGAGTTAACTCTTACATAGTACTTACTTTGTGCCAGGAAAAAAAAATGTCCTCATTATTGTAGCTATATTAACAGTCTATACATCACCTCATTTAATCCTCACAGCTATATAGGGTAGGTACCATTATTATCCCCACTATGCAGATATGTAAACTGAGTCAACAAACTGAGGTAAAACCAAGAATCAGTGTAAATAGTCAGGTGTGGTGGCACACACTTGTAGTCTCAGTATTTGTGAAATAGAGGCAGGAGGATCAGGAGTCCAAGAACATCCTCAGCTACATGGAAAGTTTGAAGCCAGGCTGGGCTACATAAGACCCTGTCTTTTACCCCACCCCACAAAAAAAATCAGTGCATATAATTAGCTTGCTATAAGTTCTTAGTCATGTCATACTAAAAGCTGCAAGAAAGCTTAGGGCTTCTTTTGCTATAGTAAACACACTTGCACAGAACTTGCCATATGCCAGGCTTAATTTCTGATTGAGCACAGACATACACATACAGAGTACTCTTAACCTTTATGAGGTACATACTATCATTATGCCCAGTTTGAAGACAAGTAAACTGAGGAATGCACTGATTACGTACTTTATCTGAGATTATAGAGCTAGTAAATTTTTAAACTTGGATGGTAACACAGGCAGTATGGCCCCTCAGTCTATGCTAGCTACCCTGCTGCTTCCTCTGAACTAGCACAGAGGTCAAAGCTTGTAACCACTAGGCCCAGTATAACCTGAAAATGTGTTTTATTTGGCTCAGACAGTGGTTTTGGTTTGGTATCAGTTAGCATTATTTAAGCTAGGCTAAGCCCAGCAAAGATTCTCAATCTGAGATAGGAGGATCGCATGAGCCTAGGAGTTCAAAACAAGCCTCTATAATATATAGAACCCATCTCAAAAAAATAAAAATCAGTAAATTAAGTGGCCTTGACTCCTGTGTCTGGCTCCACCATTATTCTATGATGTCATCTTCACTTTACAATATTAAATGTTTTCTAAAGTTTTAAATTAAATGTGTGTGTGTGTGTGTGTGTGTGTGTGTGTGTGTGTGTGTGTGTGTGTGTGTGTGGTGTTTGGAGGGATGTGCCACAGTATGCTGTGGAAATCAGGGGAAGTGCAGAGCTTGGTTATTTCCTTCCAACGTATGAATTCTGGGGATTGAACTCAGGCCCTCAGACTTGGTGGCAAATGCCCTTGGTGACATTAAGTCCTCTTGCTGGTCCTTCATTTTACAATCTTTTAACAAATGTATGACCTGGATTTCAGACATGTTGAATCAAAATTTCCTAAAGTTATATTTGGTATATAGTTGAGAACTGGAAGTCAAGCCTGCCTGATCAAAAAAGCCATCCCTTTACCAATATAAAAAAAACCAGTAGATTAGGGTTTTGATACTAACTTCCTTCTAAAAAAACCCATCTCTCCTAAATATTAGGCTATAAACTGAAACTAAAGGTGATAATTTTGTACTTTTATCTTATAATACTTTTTTTTTTTTTTTGGTTTTTCGAGACAGGGTTTCTCTGTGTAGCTTTGCGCCTTTCCTGGAACTCACTTGGTAGCCCAGGCTGGCCTCGAACTCACAGAGATCCACCTGGCTCTGCCTCCCGAGTGCTGGGATTAAAGGCATGCGCCACCACCGCCCGGCATCTTATAATACTTTTAAATACAAAATAATTAAATCATTTCCTCCTTCCCTTTCTTCCTTTCAACCCTCCCCATGTACCTTCTTGCACTGTCTCAAACACACACACACACACACACACACACACACACACACACACACACACACACACACACACTCTACAACCTGCTCAGTCTGTATCACACAGTTGTATGTATATGTTTTCAGGGCTGACCCTTTGGTATTGGACAACCAGTTGATGAGCTCTTCCCTGAGGAAGACCATCTCTCCCGCTCTCAGCATTCCTCAGCTGCCAGCAGTTCTCTGTCTAGGGTCAAGGCCCCATGAGCTTTCCCCCTTTCATATTAGCGTGTCTATTGTTGTCACCCTTGTTCTGGTGTTGTTGATAAGAATGTGTGGTTGTAGCCTCTCTGCCTTTTCTAGGACACATAATCTCACAGCAAACTTTCTATTCTCTGGCTGTCCCAGTCTTTCCACCCTCTCTTCTGTAATGATTTCTGAGCCTTGGGTGCAGGTGTTGTAGGTATCTCAGTTGGACTATAATTTTTTTTTTATTAATTCTAGGACAGGTCATGTAATCTCTTTCAGCCTCAATCGTTTTCCTATGCAATTTACTAGTATGGTTGTTTATTCATACCACAAATGCTTGCTCAGAACTTACTATACACCAAGCATTGCTGTTGTAAA